GGCAGGGAGTTGGATATGGAAGATACTGGAGATGTTTTGCAGGCACAAGCTGTGTACTTCAAAAAATTGAATAACACGCCTCATCAATACCGCTGGGTTGGTCTTGCAGTAAGCGATAACTGCAGCAACCCTCTTCCTAAGCAACGGACTGGGTGAGCTTTTGAAAGGAATGTCCAGTTCGTTCATTTGTGTTTGGGATTCGTTACAAATCAACAAGACGAAATGGGGCAAAGAATCTGACTCCAGCCCCATTCATCTGTCATAGTCGCCTCGCTCACGTACTCAGCTTCCACCTTGAGGTTGGAGTCGGTGTACTCCTGTTTCAGTATGTCGACCTCAACTTTGAAGGTCTCCTCAGGGGGCCGAGCATAGGAGAGTATCCCTGTATCAATTTTTAACAATTGAACACACAGCCACATACCATGTCGCACCCCCAAAGCTTGACCATTTCAGAATTTCAGGCATGTTGGGTTTCCCATCTAGCGATTAATGGGTGATTGTTCCCCAGAGCCATTCAGAGTTATATCTTACACGAACAAGAACATATTGTCGCGGTGTTTTTTTATTGGGAGAGCTATTGAGGTTACGAACTGAAACTACCTAAAGGTGTTTTATTTTTAGCCATATGTATCCATATCCTTTGAAGGAATCTGCAACATGTTTCAACTTTTTTCGAAAACAGTCCACATCAAAGCCACAAGCTTGGAACATCCGGAACACATCATCCCTGGACTTCCCACCATCTTTGTACATCTTAATCACATCAGCTGAAATCTTGAACGCGCCATTTGCCCGGGGCGTGACAGCACGTCGAAGTCGCTGATCGATGGCTTCTTTCGACAGGTGCAAAGAACCTGGCGATGGCCGTGGCAAATTCAAGTCGTCGTGGTAAGCCAAGGACTGCGGAGTCACTGGAACAGCCCTTCTTGGTGTAGCTGCTGGTGTAGCTACTGGGGTCGGGGTGGCTACCTGAGTATCTTGCAGTCCCAGCTGGTTGTCTGGGTGGTAGGAAGGCGTGTCCGGCACAGTAACAGGAGACTTTGGGTGTGTATTGCCAGGACAATCCAGATGGCTCACAGGCGGCATGGATGGTGGTGGGGGCAAAGTGCCATGAGCTGGCACTCCCACTCTCTGGTTCAAGGCCTAAGTAGGAAAAGGGCCCAACAAAATCTGGCAAATACGTTACGTTGTTTTCTTTGGTATACTCACTAGGCCATCACCCCAAATAAGTTTCAACTCCATGATGATCAAACAATTGAGTAAACAGAACAGTATTCAAGGGTAAGCTGCCCATTCTTGTGGGAAATATTTGTCTCTGTAGTTGTGGGGGGGCCCAAAGATCAAATAATCCCAAACATCGCGATGATATTATCTCGTGTCATACTGGCATCTGGTATCCCATTCTGTATGTGGGCTCAGCTTTACTACAACTTTGCGGGGCCCGCCAAACCCAACCCAACATAGGAAGCATGTTATAGTCAAACAAATGGTCCCATTGGACACTTCCCCAGATCTACTTGCATTTTAAGGCTGGTGAAGAAATCATAACATCCCAGTTGTATATGGCAATTCTTACTTGGTACTTGGTTGTGCTGAACCACAACAAGCTCGACAATAATGGTGGAAAAAATGTGGGATGTCTCCCCCCAAAGAACGACACCTCTATTATTGCAAGAATTTTTGTTTGGCTATCTATGAGAAGAAATGGACAGATTTTCATTAAGATATTTCTGAATCCCAATTGTAAAATGGATATGTTTTTGTTTGCTAGTTACTTAGGCAACACCATACCCCTTTCGAATTCTGGTGGTTGATGATTTTGACAAGTCAGAAGCTGATGCCCTTTTATTGTGGTATCCCCCAAGCATCCCTTGTGTTTTGTCAAACTGATTTGTTTTCTTGGGAACCCCTCAAGCCGGCAAGCTGCTTCCAGCTCGGCTTCAAGTTCTGCGTCAGATCTCGAAGCAAGGAAAGAGGCAGGCTGTCGGTTCACAGCATCCACCCCAGCAAGAAGGGTGGATGAGCTAAATTGTTTACTCAGCGACATCACCGGTAAAGGGCAGGGGCCCAGAAAGTTGGACACAAAAAGGGAAGGCTGCAGTTCACCCAGGGATTCAAGTTGATGCCCTTGACGGGAATGGTGCATCATAAAAGCTATCTACGTTTTTCTGTTTGCATCTCACAGAAAACAAATCTTTTCTTTGCTCGCGCACGCCAAGATGCGCACGTAGGCTGATGCAATACACTGGAACTTAATTTTCCTGAAAACCACGCAAATAACACCAAAATAAATTACGCCTTGACACGTTTTCAAAATTCACAACTGGTTTTCAGCTGCGGTGAACACACGTTGAGTTCACATCTAAGTGAAACATTCCCTCCATTCAGGCGGAATAGTCAGCTTAACGCTGCCCCTCGCATATCGAACCACTTGACTTAAATCAGCCTCGGGCCAGGACTCCGACTCAAAGTTCTTGAAGGCAGAGATCACATCAGGCGCCAAGTTCGCCTGTCAAATGAGGTGCTGGAGTAGGCCCCAACATGAAAGGAAGAATTTTTTAATAGTCGCACATCTGAAAAACACAATCCATGTAAATTCCACCAAGGCACGTTGTCAAAAAAAGATTGTTTGTCAGAACATTTCCACCAACGAATCAGGTTGTAGACAGAGAGGGCAAATCCCGCGGGGTAGGTCCTTTGCAGAAAGAGAGAACTGGCAAGGAACGACCTGGAGTGAAGTGGTTATTGGTCAACCACATGGACCCCGATAGACCCCCAAAGCTTTTGAAAGGGGTTCAAGCTAAGAGTGCAGACCCCTATTTTCAAAAACCCATGTCTTGACCAATACCCGTTTCGCAGTACATGAGCCAAAGTAACTACCGAATTACCATACCTAGGCACTGTGACCCCTTTAAGGACGACGTCCCCTGCCATCTTCGCTTGCCAGATCCATCTATGTACTTGCGAACTAAAGTCACATCCGACTTGTGACCTTTCAGTGAAAGGTTTCCACGGTCCATGTAGCCTACCTGCTTGATACTGCTCAGCAACACCGTGCGCTTTGGTGAGGGACCTTTGTGATGCCTCATCCAAAAGAATTGGCGAAAAACCTGTGGCAGGTGAAGGGAGGAAAGTTAGTTGAGGGGCAGGTGAGCTGGTAGGAGGTTCATTGCAAATCTTTTACCAAAGAACTACTAAAGCCATGTAACAGGTATTCCATGTGCTCGCAGGGTTTTGATGAACCACTGGACTCTTGGATAATCAAGAATTGACGATCCTGCTGGTTGCTCCAGAAGGTACATTCCGTCAACCACCAGCACGAGCACCACCAAAAGAAGTGTCCTTCAAGGGGAATAATCCAAATTAGTAACGTGGGATGGCTTCCAAAACCTGGCCATTTCACAGGAACCATGTAGACTATAGAACCATGTAAGTAAACCAAATTGACAATCGCTTTGAGGTGATGGTGTCAAATTTTGGGAGCCAATCAGGTGAGAAATTGAAAATGTCCGAACAGATGGTGAACACTAGTGCCCAAAAAATCCGGCAAGTAGCTTGAGTCCTTGACATCATTTTGTTTCCACATTGAATAGAAATGTGGAAAACATTGCCCCACCCATTGAGTAAGTCTCGACAAGCCGTCCCTTGATTCGCAGCGCAAAAGCTAGAACACACAGGCGCAAACATGCCAGCAAGGTCTGCCCATGCACCGGATAAGATCATTTTGATCGCCAACCTAAGTCCCGGGGCAAACTGTGATTGATTCAAAGATTGTTGTAGGAACATGTCTCGTTCCAAAGATGACTTTTGGCCAAGAGATGAAGTTGATCTTTCAAAGGCAAGAAACAAATATCCTGCCGGTGAATTCATGTCCATGAAAGACCGTTTTGGGCGTCCATTGTGCTTTGAAACAGCACCCTTGGGGCTGTCATATGCTATGTCAAAAGCACCAGTTTTCAGACCTTGTCGGCTACAGAATCTCGAGATCCTGGCTTTGCCTGAGTAGAACTCAAGCACCTCGAAATTGTCCATCTCTGGGAGGTCCATCCAAGAAGACAGCAAGACTAAGCTAACAAAGTCCTGACGCTGAAGGACAAGCATGGCAGGCGACTCAAAGAGAGTAAACACTGCCAACAAATCGATACTGCATTATCTCCTTTGGAACCTGCAAAAGCAAGAGCCGCTGTACAATCAGCATCAGGGGGAGCGGGCTCATGGCTGGAAACACTAGGGAAATATCTGAGCAAACGTAGCTAACGAAACCGACCATTGCAAGTTTCAAGTCAGCTCCAGTGAGCGTTGAAATGTCACATGAAGCAAACAGAAAAGGAAGATTGCGCTCTTCATTCCCCGGCCGCAAATTAATTTCCAACACGCCCCGAAACCCGACCGATAGCATTTGATTCCTCAAATGGTGTGGGCTTGTACATCAAGATCAAAATTCGAAGCTCAGCAAAACGGACAAATCCGTGAAAGAATCGATAAACAGGTCTGGCAGGCTAGTCTGCTCACGTACTGCAGGGACAGGATATCCCAGGATTGCTGCAGCATTGGGAATCTGAGGCCGCCTAGAACGAGCTGGAGCCGTGTCACTTTATGATGCTACGCTGACAAGGGACTGTTCCGCTGACAATCAAATGTTCCGTAGCAGGCCTTGGCATAGAGCATGAAAGCGAACCTGACCAGTGGGTAAAAGAAAGGGAAGCTGTACCATCTCTAAAAAACGAGGCGAGGAGAGACTGATTTGCAAGCCCTTGCGCTGCGCATTTTCACCGATTTGTCACAGCTGTTCGACATGTGGTGTGGCCACTGGACATGAAGGTTCGAAATAGGGCTTCGCTATCGCCCTCACGTCAACTCTTGGCTCACTAGAGACCCAAAGAAGTAAAAGTGACACCTCAGGCCCACGATGGGCAATGCAACTGTGTACCCCCACAGCGGCTGATGCTGTCCATCCTAAAGTCCCAAGGTTTTTATCATTCCCCATAGTCTTTTCGCCCTCACTCAACGTTGAAGGTAGACGCCAAGCTCTTTGCCACTTGAAAGAAAGCAGGGTAGTCGCCGCACTGGTTCAACTCTTCGGAGTCCACGCATGCCTCCCAGAACTTGACCTAAAGGGAAGCAAGGGGGGCAGCTACTTTCAAGATTAGAAGAGGCCCAATGATTTTCCAAAATTGTTCCAAATCGGTTTTGGAATCTGGGACTGGGACCCTGAGTTTCATAATTTGGTTTTAACCCAAGCCTGCAACTTCGAGTGCTGGGTGACCTGTGGCTTGACAATTTCATTGAAAGCATCTCGGATGGCTTCCCAGCGGTCCTTGGATGGCTGTGTGACCGGGCAGGGACGTCTTCCGAAAGAGACCGGCTTGGCATCATCCTTTCCTTCGTTCTGCGCCTCTTCTCCCTTTGTGTCCTTTGTCTTGGCAGCTTTGCCTCTGGCCTTCTTCTTCTGAGGTTCGCCCTTCTCTTCAACCTTCGCTTTCATGGCTCTCTTGGATCCCTGGTTCTCTGTCTCTCTATCAGACTTTGTGGCAGCTTTGCCTCTTGGCTTCTTTTTCTCACGCTCCTCCTTCACTTCATCATGCGGTTTCTTCCCTGGCTCTGCTCCTGTCTCTGGCTTCTGGTTCTCTTTGTCTTCAGTGCCGGCCTTTGTGGCAGCTTTGCCTTTGCGCTTTCTCGGTTTCTCAGGCTCCTTGTTCTCATCCTTTGTCTGCTCTGTCTTCACTCCTCTCTTTGGCTTCTGGTCCTCTTTGCTTTCATAACCTGCCTTACTGGCCTCTTCAGCTTCCACCTTCTGTGCTTTCCTGGCCCGTCTCTTTGGCTTCTGTGTCTCCTTCTCTTGGTCTGTATTCTTGGCGCCTTCGTCTCCCAAATCTTCCTCCTCCTTGGTATCCTTCACCTTCTTTTCTTTCTTGTCTTTTCTTGATCGTCGCTTTGGCTGCTTGTCGGTCTCTTCAGGCTCCCTGTCCTCCAAAGTGCCAAACTGCTCTCGGCGCCGCACTAGCTGAGGCGTCCCATTCAATAAGTCCGGAACCTTCAGATCATCTTTCTTCTCCACCTCTAACATATGATCCTCTTCCTTCACCTCTCCGGCCTTCACCTCGGGTACCTTCTTCTCGCCTTCCTCCTTTTCCCTCGTGCCTTCGACCTCAGGAGTCTTCTGATTCTTGTCGTCTGCCTCCTTCATTGGCTCCTTTTCTACAGCCTGTTCCTCCTCATCTTTGACCTTCTCTGCGTCCGATCTCTCCTGTTTCTCTTCCTTCTCCTCCTTATTACATTGAACCTCCTTTACTTCGGATACCTTGTGCATGTTTTCTTTCTTGTCCTTCGCATCTTCGACCTCTCCGGCCTCTGCCTCCTTTCTCTTCACGTCTCTGGCCTTCACCTGGGACACCTTCTCCTGTTCCTCTTTCTCCTTCTTGCCTTTGACACCCTTTGCCTCGGGAGTTGTTTTCTCATATCTCTCCTCTTCCTTGTCCTTTTCTTTTTCATCAGTGACCTTCTCCGTCTCAGACCCCTTCTGCGTCTCTACCTCCTTCTTCTTACCTGTGACCTTCTCTGCCTCGGATCCCTTCTGCGTCTCTAGCCCCTCGTTCTTCTCACCTGTGACCTTCTCTGCCTCGGATCCCTTCTGCTGGCCTTCCTTCTTCTGGTTCTCTACGCCTTCCACCTTCTTCAGTTCTGCCTCCAAATTCCGCTTCACAGGTAGCCACCCAGAAGCTGGCTGAACTTCATTTTTTTCTTTGGCTTCAGATGCCTGACGTTTGACGCAGCGGCAACTCCCACCTCCTAGGAAAAAAAACTTTTTGTTCCGGTGGTCCCCATGATTTTTTTTTAGCCAAAGTAAACCGAACGGTTGGGTTAATCTGGCCTTGGCAGACCCACCCAAGATGAGCGTGTCATCACGCAGAACAAGATCTGCAAATCGCTTTGGCGTCTCTGTTGACAGGGGGGATGGCTCACTAGGGATGCATTGCATGGCAGCCTCTGTGTCAAAGGGCAAAGTCTCCATAGTGTCGGTGGCCGTGGCAGCTCCTGTAAAGCTGGAGGGCCGGTATGTGAAACTTAGGTGCCGCTTTTAAAGATGTCTGTTTTGGAATATGCATAATACTAAGTTCAATTTGATTGAGAATGCGTAGCCACTCCCGTTCCACATTGTCTTTCTTAGGTGTTCTCTGAGGGTGCCAGCAGATATGCCACCAAGAAGTAACCTATGGAATAGTGCCGGCATGGCAAACCAGTTCGAAGTATGTTCTGGGAATACGCTTGCGCCTGAACAAGCGGCTTTGAGAGGTGCACTCCCTGACACTGAAGTTTGTTCAGCACGGCGTCGAGCAACTTCTCTCCTAGAAAGGGTTGATCATGGTTGAGGAGACCATGTTTTTGACCACACCAAGTAGAGAATAAGCAGAGAATAATAACGGTCTAACACCCCATCACATTTAATTGGCTGGCTTTTCAATGTTAAGGAAAAATGAAAGCACCCGGTTGTCACTATCTCGCTGGCCAGGCCTGATCAGCTCACGGCGGATCTCGATGGCACGCTGCTCGTCTTGGCTGGGAAATGAGCTGGAACTGGTTCCACTGAAGCTGGGCGCTGGTCCGTGGTTTGCCCCACTTGGTTCTACACTGGGTTCTACATCCTTGGGCTCAACAGCTTCAGATGCTACCGGCCCGTTCTCAATTGCAAGTAATGGCGCGTCCTCAATAGCAAGTTGTTGGTTTTCCCCTGACACATTTCCTGGAACAGCATGGGGGGCAGGAAGGGCAGGAAGGTTCTCATGACTACCCCCCTCACTGCCACCCTCGAATACCACCATTTGGTTCATCCCATTCCAATGGAAGTCAAAGACGTTCCACAGCGGTAGCAGCTCCAGATCCTAGGGAAAGTGGGGAAGTCTAATTGGATGATGGTGGGTCATGACCCTGGGGATTTTTTGGTCATCATCAATATGAATCCGCAAAGGAAAACATAAAAGAATCATTCATAAAAGATATAAATGAAAGTCAGGAAACCCGGGGCCCACTGGAATTGGCCCACCTCCGGAGAGCCAACGACATCAGCTTCTTGATCCCCCAACAATCCAAATTGATTGTCGAGACAGGGACTTTGATCATCATCTTGACCCAAAAAGCTTTCACCTTTGGGCAAGGTTTTGGGGAACCCAACACACGGCCACCAAAACCGCGTGGGAATTTTAATTTGCTTTTGGTTTAAAGCATTCGTGTTTTCCCCAATCTAGGTTTTCCGTGTGTAAAACTATCATATTTCCACACCTGTCAGGTGAGGGTTGTTAGATTTTAAGTCAGCTGTCCCGCCACCTCCTCCGCCTCCGCCTCCCCCGCAGGACCTCAACTGCAAGCGCTAGATCGCAGTGTCACCCCTGAACAGCAAGCTCAGGATCAGAGTGTTCCCCGCCGGACCTCAACTGCAAGTGCTAGATCGCAGTGTTCCCCGCCGGACTCGACCCCCCCCGCCGGACCTCAACTGCAAGCGCTAGATCGCAGTGTTCCCCGCCGGACCCGAACGATCAGAGTGTTCCCCGCCGGACACCAACTGCAAGTGCTAGATCGCAGTGTTCCTCGCCGGACCCGAACAGCAACCTTTGCAGCAAAGTGTTCCCCACCGGACCCTACAAGCTGCAAGCACTAGATTGCAGTGTTCCCCGCCGGACCCGAACAGCATGCCCAGGATCAGAGGGTTCCCCGCCGGACCTCAACTGCAAGCGCTAGATCGCAGTGTTCCCCGCCGGACCCGAATCAGATCCAGCGCTGGAATGCCAGAATAGATGTCAGATAGAGTGGCAGGTAGAATGCCAGAATAGATGCTGGATAGAATGCCACAATAGATGCCAGATAGAACGCCAGAAAGAATGGCAGATAGAATGTCAGAATAGACGTCAGATAGAATGCTAGGTAAAATGTCAGAACATATGTCAAAACATATATCAGAAATATATTATGCAATGAAATGCCAAGGTGGGGACCACTCGAAGTAAAGTATTAAATGGTGCTATGATTTTAAGACCGAACCATTTAAAAGGAACAACAGCCAACCCATAGACCGGCCTCTTCTTTGAGAATATCCACTGGTACTGTCTTGGGTGTTTCTTGGTGCTTGGCCCACCAATCACAAGCTAGAGTCAAAAGCCGCAAGTTGCAACCAATGGCGCGGCATGAGGGTATGCCAATGGTTTCCCGTGTAGGCCACTCAGTCAACTGCTTGTTCTGGCGAGCATTTTGCCTAATGTCCGGGTCCATCTCCAGAAGCCCCCCAAGGCTCCCCACAACGCCCATTTCAGCCATCGGTCGGCCAAAGGTCTTGCTGATGGGGCAAGCAGACAATCTGCACTGGAAAAAGGGCTGGCGGATGCAGGGTTTGTGCGCTGGAATGAGGTGAGGTGAGCTGCCGTAAGCAACAAAATTGAAACATACTGAAACGTAACCAAAGTTCTGAAGAACTCAAGATCAATGGCCCCAGCCTTGCTAGCCTGGAGGATTACGGAGGGCGAACCATGAAGTACCTTTGCGATGGTGATGCATAATAGTAAGGAATCAGCTGGGACTTCCTTTGGATCTCTTGAGTGGCGCACTGGGACAGCTTCTGGAGCAAAGGGATGATAGGCACATCAGCCAGGTGAGCCAGGAAGCTACATCCCCAGCTCCACTCTCCCAAACCATCAGAAAGTCACAAAACTGAAATTACGCCTTCTCACTGAAATTACGCCTTTTCAGGCTGGACCCCATGAAAAGCAAGAAATTGAGGAAACATAAAAAATTTGTTCCCTCTCGGTTGTCATAGGTATACAGTTAGATGTGAAATGACTCGAAGATATCTGTTTGAGCTAGCCTAAAACCCAACAGTTTCGCGATCTTCACAATCTCAATGGGCTGTTTCCCGTGTTGAACGACTAAACAAGAGCAAGCCATGTTAACATCCCACCCCTGCACCACTTTGCACACAGTGAATTTGGAATCATTACACCTGTGCTTGGCGGATGATTGACATCCCAGTAAATTGCCACCACCCAAGCGCTCCATATATCACCTGTGTTCAAGAAAAGCATCCTTTTGTCCCTACATTATTACCTTCTGTTGTTTTCATTTTGTCTCAAGAGAAACAGTGCATTTTGCAAGCCTACGGTGCACATTTAGGTCTATACATGGCTGCTGCATACGGACTTGCATGAGGAGATGTTAATCTATGTAATTGGAAATCTTGTTGGCCCATACGGGGAATGCTATCAGGAAAGAATGCACCCTTGGAACAACCACAGTGGGAATATTGAAGATGTACAAAACGACCTCGGCATCTCTATAAATCATGTGTCAACGTGTTCGACCTCGGCATCTCTACAAGTCATGTGTCAACGTGTTCATGTCCTGGCCGTTAAAAAAGCGAATCCTCCTAAGATATTTTGGGGTTGCCCAATCATGACACATCCACCTCAACCCTCTAGTCGACGACCATTTTCCTGACATGTTTTTAGACACGCCCATTTCATGCCATTTCTACAGTTGTCATGTAGCGACCCAGCGGCTCTGTAAATGATGTACATGTTCCATGCCATAGATGGGGATACATCAAATCATGAACTACATTGAAATCCCATCCTTTGTGATTGTGTCCTCAAAGATGCATTGCCCATATGCGAACCATGGTGCTGGAATATATATCAACATTTACCCCCAAAATCCATGCAGTTTTGTAGGTGTGCATATACCAGCACCATGGTTCGCATGTGGGATATGTTTTGAGACCTACAAAATGCAGAAAAATCTGCAACCTGAACGACCTGCAATGGCGACAGCAACACAGGCTTGCTACCTTTCCACCCCAAATACGTTTGGGAGCTAAGTTGGCCAAATAATGAGGCACGGAAACCAATTTCACCCCCAAATGTGGCACAGGTGTACCATCGTGTACCTATAACACGTTGGAGAAACCCTGCAACACCAGCACTTTTTCTCACATGTTGATGGCCCCAAATGCACCTTGTCCCCAGTTAGCGGGAACTCAACACTGCCTCTCGCAAGCTTAGAGTCTTCAGGCTGCTCGGCAAATCAACTCCTTCCAAGCTCTGCTCGAATCGCTGAATGCAAAATAGATCTTCAAGCTGGTCTCCCAAAACCACGCCTTTCAAGCTCAGGTTAAAGGAAGGACTAGGTGGCAGGGTCGCTCGCTTTAAGCTCTGTTTGAAATGAAAACCAAGAGACAAGTTTTGAAGACTGGATGGCAGGGTCACTCCCTCCAAGCTCTGGTTAAAGGAATCACCCAAAGTCAAGTTTTGCAGACTGGATGGCAGGGTCACTCGCTCCAAGCTCTGGTTAAAGGAATCACCCAAAGTCAAGTTTTGCAGACTGGATGGCAGGGTCACTCGCTCCAAGCTCTGGTTAAAGGAATCACCAAAAGTCAAGTTTTGCAGACTGGATGGCAGGGTCACTCGCTCCAAGCTCTGGTTAAAGGAATCACCCAAAGTCAAGTTTTGCAGACTGGATGGCAGGGTCACTCGCTCCAAGCTCTGATTAAAGTAAGTACCAAAAGTCAGTGTTTGAAGACTGGATGGCAGGGTCACTCGCTCCAAGCTCTGGTCGAAGCAGTCGCCAAAACTCAGAGTTTGAAGACTTGTTGGCAGGGTCACCTGCTCCAAGCTCTGATTAAAGTTAGTACCAAAAGTCAGTGTTAGAAGACTTGTTGGCAGGGTCACTTGCTCCAAGCTCTGGTTAAAGGAATCGCCAAAAGTCAAGTTTTCAAGACTGGATGGCAGGATCACTCGCTCCAAGCTCTGGTTAAAGGAGTCACCAAAAGTCAAGTTTTGAAGACTGAATGGCAGGGTCACTTGCTCCAACCTCTCGTTAAAAGGAGAACCATAAGTAAACGTTTGAAGACTGGATGGCAGGGTCACTCGCTCCAAGCTCTGGTCGAAGCAGTCGCCAAAACTGAGTGTTTGAAGACTTGTTGGCAGGGTCACTTGCTCC